TACTTAAAACTATCGTATGGATTTCACCTAAACAATAAAACTTGACCTTGTGACCTTGTCTAAAAGAACAAAACTTGACCTCATTACGACCCCATCGACCATTACTTACTTGTACCACTTGGTCCTATCAAGCCAGAGGCCACAAACAAGGGAACCTAGAACTCCTGCCATAACTAATGTTAGACCAATTCTACCAGCATTCAACTGTTCTGACTGTGTTTGAATGTGTGTGTGTGTGTGTGTTGTGTGTATAATGACAACCATCACCATCCTCATCATCATCATCATCGTCATCATCATCGCCATCACTAAACTGGAAAATAATTCAAGACGATAGGGTTCAATAGCGTTCCAATGGCGTAATATGAACCGGTGTTTATACCTGGAATCATTATAATTATTATTATTATTATTATTTAAGACTAATCTGCTCTCGTGGTACACATTTTTTTTTATAAGATGACGAGCTTCGGAGACATTTCATGACATTTTACTATATACATATATATTTTAATTTTGATTATCATTGACAATTATTGTTTCTTTCATTTCATGTAAGTTTTTACGATGAAAATAAAAAGGTGTTCCAATTATTATTATTATTATTATTATTATTATTATTATTATTATTATTATTATTATTATCAATGGTGATGAAATGATGACGTATGGAAAATGATGGTCACGATGATGACAGTGAGATTGCTTTTTAAGATGATGTCAATAAAACTATGTTGACGATCATCGATGTCACGTCAGTGTGATCGAAATAACATTTTCAACTAAAAGTTATAGACAAACAACAGCAACAGCAATAAACAACAACAACAAACAACAACAACAGCAGCAGCAGCAGCAACAACAATAACGATACCTAATACCATACATACATAACGACATCACCGTCCAATGCACAAAAGCATCATCACACGCAACATCATAGCACATCACATTATGACACATTAAATCACATCACAAACATCACAACACATTACATCACGTCACAATAACATCCTCATTTTACAGAGAAATTAGATGTAATAGATTTGAAGGGGCTTGAATAAATTGGTAATAATTGTAACGGTGTTAAGGGGTTGAATGGTTTCATCCCATTTAATAATACCAATCCCATTATTAATATGTAGTAAACAAGAATGAAAATAACAACCAACTAGCCAACCACCCATCAACCAACCAGCCAGCCAACTAACCAACCAACTAACCAACCGACCGACCAACCAACCAGCCAGCCAACCAATCAACCAACCATATGTAACCAGCAGTACACAAAATGGAACATTCTTCAAGAGTCTTTTCAGTGACAGGAAATAATTGGTGACCTGAGAGCTGGACCTATCGAGATCAAGTGAGTGGACAACCATCTGTGCTATGCTCGGTGGGATGTCCGGCTTCTCCTTGAAAACTGTCAACAAACAAACAAACGAACAAAATTAACAAAAAAAAACAACAAAAAACAAGAAAAAAAAACAAGAAAAAAAACACGACTTACAAATGGCAACAAGTATGAAAAGAAAGCAAGATATGGAAGCACCGGTGTACAGTAAAATCTTTAATTTATAGTGGATGTGTTGGATTTCCAGATCATGTTGGCAAGTGTCAAACATTGATGATGTCGTAGTCATCATCGTCGTCATCATGAATTCTGACGTTGTTGCGCTTGTGCTAGTGGCATCTACATTGTCGGTGAAGTTTGTTAATGTAATGTTGCACTTCTCCGTGTTGCACTTCTCCGCTATCTCTAATGGGTCCATGTTGTCAACTATGATAGGTGGAATGAAGAAACCTAGCGCACAACCAATCTGGCATAGAATGGTAAAATGGAAATGCATTATTCATTGAAAGTATGTGAAGAATTTGAAAAAGGTTCATCCCATATGGCATGGAATTTGAAAAAAATAATTAATTTTAATTTTTAATTCAATAATAAATTAAATTACAAGCATACTGCAGCATAACAAACTGAATTAACGTTAAAAAAAAATTTCACAAAGTTCAAGTAAGGTGAATGTTGATCATAAAAATTTAGGACTTGAAAATTTTAAGAAATGTATAAACTTGAATTTAAATAAAGTTTTACCAGAATAAATTAAATATTAAAAAAAATCAAAGTACACATCCATCCAGCCACATTATTACAAATTTTAAATTTCATTTTATGCATTGCTTTCATTAATATTCATCAAGAAGTGAATAAACATGAAATGTCTTATTGATTTGTGAAGAAATTGATGAGTCAGATGTGAAAATCCAACCGGTGAACACTCAGGCATGATGTCAATCAAAAGTAATTACATCAATTTTTAGTGCAATAAACTGTTAAAATCTTCAAAGATAACATTAAAAGTGTAACTGACTTATTAAAAAAGAGAGAGAGAGAGAATATATATAATCTCAGAAAATTACTGACAAAAAAGAACAAGAAAGTAAGAATTGAAACTCAAGATTGATTTGTTTTGCCTGTTGGCAAGAGAGGTGTGAGATTAGAAATGTTGTTCCATGTTTTTAGTTTGCCTGCATATTTTTGCCTGTTTGTGTAAATGTATGTTTTTATACGTGTGTATGTGTATATATATGTGGGTGTGTGTCTGTTTGCATATCATTTGATACATATGTTCCATTTTAAGTACACATGTACCTATAATGTATTAAATGTACATATAATGTATTAAATGTACATATAATAAAGATGTAGGTAGTTGCAGTAAAAGTATACAAATATACAAATGTTCACTTGAGAGAGAGTTATGCAAAAAATGTAATACTTAATAGGTGCATGCCTGAGTTGTAACGTAATTAAATGGGAAATCCCAAACATCTGGACTATAATAAAACTTTTAATAGAATCATAGGATCATTAATGTTCCATATACCAATTAAATGCAACTGGAATACTATAAAAATCAAACTCCAATTTCTTAATAAATATTTTGATTATAATGTAGATGTCACTAAATGAGATAAAAAAAACAACGATTTAATAAAACGCTACCAGGCTTAAGTTGGAGATAATATTTAGACAACAAGATGAATGTTGACATGTACTGTAGAGGCATGTAGACCAAAAAAAAAAAAACAGATGGTGACCCAGACTCCATAGACAAAGTATGTAAAATAAATAGCAGTAGTTAAAATCAATGAGATATTTTTTTATGACGTAAAATTAATTCGTTGCTTAATGTACCATTAAGCTGATGTCAGGTAAACAAAAATGAATGCACACACACTGGCAGATATATAAAATTATCATCATCTTCTTCTTCACGCTCATCATCAAACAATTATTATCCTAATCACCATCATCATTTCATTACCACAATCATTATCATCATCACCATCAACAACAACAATAATTTTCATCACCAATACAATAACTCACACTCAAATTCATGTTCATCACATTCACATCGCATATTATCACCATAGCTATATCATTTATTTGATAAATCACATTCAAATTCTTACAAATATACATCACATATAGAATAATTAACTGCACCAACAATAAAAGACATCACCAATTTTCCAACATTTTTTTTCAATATAAAACTTATTTCAATGAGCAAAAAAAAAATAAAGAGAACATTGTGAACAGCCCTAAAGGCAAATATTTTTACAGAATTAAAATTTGAAGTATCGGCAAATAAATGCAGACTATAGATTTTTAATTAATAATTTGCATTGAGTGTGTGCAACAAAAACATGCAAGCTATTATCAAATGGGACAACATTGAATTAACGATAACAATAACAACAATAATAATAACTTTTATGATAACAGCTTGGGGGAGAATGTTTAGCTTATGCAAAGAGCTGGCAAAAATATAATTAAAAAGCATTTGCTTGTGAGTTTTGGTGAGATATCGAATTTATTCGTATTCAAACTTCAGAAAGTTTATGAAATTTCCATTAAAATGACATCACAAAAAAATGCAAATTATGTTGAAAATTTACAAAAAATGAAATAATACGATGACGAAAAATAATAAAAATGCAAAATGAAAATAGAAATATCGAACCTGATTACCAAAGACACCAATAGCAGTTGCAGTGGAGACTTCGTTGGAACCGAACCAGACGGCTGCTACACGAGCTGGCAGGCCCAGGATGAAAACCTGGGCGACAGCGCTGACACTCTGACCAAGCATGATCACTGGAAATCTTAAAATAATTATTCCAATCAAACTATTCACACATTTAATGGCTTTGATTTGAATAAAATTAAAAATTACAACTAGAATGTCTTTATGAGAAATGAAAACATTTCTTTAACCAACCTTTCTGGACTGATGGCAAAGCATTTGACAAAAGCTCCAAGAGCATTCAGGATTGTTCCTATCATCCCCATGACATGCAAACCTTTTCGATCAAGCAACAAGTTGGCTGGTACTATAAGTGGAATATATGCTAACATATAAACCATGGATAACCAATCTGAAAAAAATGAAATTGAAATATTATTATTATTTACAAATCAGAGTTGATATTGTGAAAAAAATATATTGTAATAGTAAATTAGTAAAATAAATGATACATCCCAAAAAATATGAAGGCAACATGAAAAAGCAAATATAGCACACATATTTTGAAGCTTACCAAGGGCAACATTTTTGGCATGGTCGGTTTCAGGCAGACTTTTTTCATAAAACACCAGAATCTTATCACCAATAATATTCAAATGTATCCATTGGAAAGCATTTACTGCAGAATAGCAGGCAAACATGGCTATCATAAGGTATCTTCTCTTGTAAAGTTTTGGCTCACCTAGGTTGGTTCTTTGTGAGTTGCTTTGTGAAAGATTTTGAAGTACAGAATTCTGTTGTGTCTTGAAATCTGTTTGATCTGAGTTGTTGGAATTGAGAGCAAGTGTGGGGGAATGATTTTCAGATGTCATGATTGATTTTTTTTGTTTTCTTAATTTCTTCTATGATAATAATGTTGCTTGCAAGAAAGGAGGCAGATCATATCACCATCACTAGTCAATAGCACTGGATCTAAAATTTAAATTTATGTTTTATGTAACAAAATAGCACTATATAATTAATATTTGTATATAAATAAAACCATTTCATATAGTATAGAATAATCTATTTTATTTTTAGCTCATAGAAAAACTGTTAACTTGAAAAACATTTTAGTATAGAGCAGGAAAGAAAGGTTTAAAAGATAGAGAAACAAAACCAAATAGATCTAGGTTAGTAAATAAAGCAAAGATTAAAATACTATTTTTAAATGTTAACTATAACCCAAGCATGATATGATAAACTACTTGAATGAAAGTAGTTTTAATTGTAATATCTTTTATTCAGCAGTCTTTAGAAATAAAAAAAAATACTACATTAAGCTTCACACATTATAAGAAATTAATTAATCGCAGCCAGTGAATAAAATTATTTATTTATTAATTAAATTGAATTAATAAAATTGAAAAATTTCTTATAATAAAATCTTTTTTATTTTTCATCTAATTTTTATTCCAATTTTTATCCAATTGAACAAAATTGCTAAACAAACAACATAGTCAGTCATAGGCATGCAAGTCTATTAAGTTCATTTCCATTTAGTTTATAATATATTTAACAAACTTAACTTAAACAGAACTAGAACACTATAAAAAAAACAACCCACACACACACGCGCGCGCTTGCGCACACAACCGCACAAACAGAACAGTACAAAAGTACATAATTGTTGAACCATACTTACTTCTACTAATACTAATTAAATCATCACATATTAACGTTGGACAATCTTCAAATAAATTGCCTGCCTATTTAAACGTATATGTACATTAGAATTAGTACATTTATCTATCTCTTTAGCTTATTTATAACTTTAAATGAGATAAAATGTGAGAGGCAATGTGAGACTTAAAATTGTAAAAGTGAAATGTACGTACGTACACGTGGAAACGTTTTTACTTAATGTGTAAATAACCCTTAGCCATTGAAAGAAAGAAGTGAATATAACATGTATGATATACATGCTATATTCTAGGTAGAACTTATAGGTAGAATAAATAGTAAAATATTAACTTTTCATATATATTAACTGCCTATATGCTCTTTCATTTCGTGTGTTTGTTCTGTGGGCTTGTGTGTAATGTAATGAAATATTAATGCAACAAATGTAAGAAATTGATTTATAAATCATTTTATTTGTGAATGTATATATAAAATTCAGTATGATCTAATGTTACTAACTAACGCACACACACACACACACACACACACACACACATATATTTTTTTCTAAATTTATTTAATGGGTAGTTCAACAATTTACCCCTAAATCGTTTACAGTTATCAAACTTTGAAGTTTACGCGTAACAAATCAATCAATTTCAATCAATTAGCTTGTAAAGCGCTATTTCCTCGATGTTCAACAGCGCTCCTCAATGAATTTTGCAAATAGATGGGTCTTGACTCTTGAGATCAGCTCTGAACTTCGTAAGTGATGGAAACATTACGCATAGCAATGTAATTAAGTGCATGTTCGTTTTGTAAAATTATGCGTGCTTCTGGACATATTATACATCAATCAATAATTTTTTGAGAAATATTCAAATTTAACGCATTCCAGCCATAGCCAAAAATAATTTACTTAACGTATGGTGCCTCAACCAAACACAAACGACATTTGTTCTAAATATTGATTGCCCACTTTTGTCATTTCTTCCACGTATAAAAATTTGACAAGTATTTTCAGACAATATCCACAGCGAAGAAACTCCATTTACTCTTCTCGTAACCTAATGCCTTTTTTCCATGATTATTTTGTATTTAAAATACAAATGTTTTGAATAATTTTCTGAATTAAAAGGAGTACGCAATTTTTTATGATGCCGTCATTTCTGCGCACAACAAAATTGTTGATTCACAAATTGTTGACGACTTAAACTGAAACATTATTTTATGAAAAAACCAAGAAGAAGCATTTAAAAATCAAACAGCATGGGGATGGAATAACGTATAATATAAACAAAATTTACATATAACAAAAATTGACATGTAATGCAATATATAACAACACAAACGGCTTACTAAAAAATTGAAATAAAAATTCAAAACTGTATCACAATTAAAGAAAAAGTAAGCCGATCATTCAGGCAGTAAATTTTGAGTTATCTACGATGACTATTACAGAAGTTTTAGGTAGGGAAGATTTCAATTTTGTTCTCAACGTGTCAACGTTTATGTAGAAACATTTCCTTTCACGGTCATCAGATAGTTTCATGCTTTTCAAATCTGCAACAGTTTCCAACAAAAACGGCAACATTATCGCACCCTTATCACTGCCCAGTTTGTTGTTGTTGTTGTTATTATTATCAACATGGTCTTCGTTATATTTATCACATACTATTTTAGAACTGTCTTCGAGTTGTCCCTCAGCAGAGTTGTCATTTGTTTGGAAAGGTTTTTCCAGGCAGACAATCCACATGAGAGATTTCAAGTGTTTCAGGTTGTAAAGTGCCAGCAAGCTACAAAGATTCACGTAAGCAGCCTGTGAGAATTATAAAACAAATTTATGATTAATCATTAAGCCAGCGGTTGGTTGCTAATCAATCATCATTAGTCTAATTTCTTTACCATGAATATCAGGATAGTAACACAACTAACTTTACACACGCCATTAGCATCGATCCTTGGCTGCAGGGTGACGTGTTGCAAGTGGCCCATCCTTTGTACTGATGACGAGAGCCTGTAATCTATCGTGTAATCTATCAGGCACAGAGATTTCAAGCTATATATCGGGGTAAAATAAACTGTCGTTATCGTGAAAACAAAAAAAAGAATTTATAAATAAATTATAAATAATTTATTTCATGTATAACATAAATGAAAAAATATATAAGATGCTTCTAAATACAAACGAATGTTACTTGGATATCTTTTGTAAAGCCTTATAAAGTCCCCTATCTGGTATGTGACCTCCTTTATATAGGTCGAGTTTCTGCAATTGGGTCAGGTTGCCAAGTAGTGAAAACATCTGGTAATGAGAATATGAGAATACGTAACAAATATAACAATATCACGTCATTTTAAAATGTAACCACAATGACAGTAAGATCGCAAAAAAAACAACAAGAGATAATAGTAGAATTGAAAGTCAGATCAACAATATTATAATTTAACAGGACTAGCTAAGAGGTAAAGTACTAGTGTGGGGGACCATCCAGGGTTAATCACTTCTGATAACAGCAATCTCGTTAATCTAATAAACTGTTAAGTCTAACCAAGAACATTCATACAACTATAAATTCAATGATGGAACAAACGATGGGACTAACGCAAATAAAATATAACAGCAACAAAACCATAATAACCATAAGGAGGGTATCAATTAATGATGCAACAAGCTCCGGATAACGAAAATATCTATGAAACAATTTGTATACAAACATGTTCGTCCCAATCTTCACATGAACGAATGACGAGATGTTGCAAGTTGTCGTAATTATTTTGCAGTGTGAATTCTATGCATTCCCTCGTGTCTGTAGCTTCAATGTGCTGCATGTTTATGTGGTGGTAACATGTCTCAACAATCATTATAAAATAATATACACTCATCACGTCATAAATAAATGAAAAACAATTAAACACTGATCGATGTAGAAGCTTAGTTATCTAAGAGATTTCTGACCAGAACATACATTGATCAGAAAATATTCATATTTCATACATATTGGAATAGGTGGAGTTAGTTAACAAAAGACGACGAGATAGTGTTATGGTTAAGGCATCTGGTCATAATGTTGCAGTGATTGGATTCGAATGCCAACAAATCGCCATCTATCATCACGAACAACGTGTGGATTCACACATATTCACATCAAACACTGTGTGTTGTTGATATCTTTGAAAAAATGTTAAAAGAGAAATGCAAATAAAATTACAAATAATATTGATAATGTAAATTTGAACGGAATACATACGACAACAGCTGGTCCCAGGTTGTTGGCTGTTCTTACGTCAATATAATCATCGTTATCATCATTTTCAACATCGCCTTCAACAAAATCTTCGTCATTTTCAACATCACCTGCAACATTTTCAACATCGTCTTCCTCTTCAGAGTCGTCATTAAATTCAATTCTGGCAGCAGCACCTGATTTACGCTCAGTGGCAAAGAATGTATCGGCACTAGATGCATTGGTTAAACATATCTTATTGCAAGTAACATTCTCATTATTACTGTCACCTTCATTTTCAACGATATAACAACCATCTGCATCATCACCATCATCATCCTCATTATCATCGTCACCATCATTATGCACGTCAATGGCGGTGGATTCGTTAATTGGTTCTGCGTCATCATTTTCGCAAGTCATAAGAACTGCCCCAGTACTTTCGCAATCATTCCCATTCACATTGTTACCAGCATCATCGTCATTTTCATTTTCATCATCATCATCCTTGTCATCATCCTCATTTTTATTATCATCATCATCAATGACAAATTCTTTCTCCAAGTTGGCATCACCTTTCCCCCCACTACCATCTTCATTACCATCGTCGTCAGCATTATCAATGTCAATTCTGCTCTCGAAATTATCACTAGCCTCATTCTTACCATCATCATCTTCTTTCTCATTATCATCCTCAATAACAATTCTGTTCATCAGATTACCATTAGCACCATTTCTATTACTGTCCTTTGTATTTCTATTGTTACGACCATCATCATGATTATCATCATCATCATCATCAATAACAATTCTACTCTCTGTGCCGTCATCACTTTTATTTTTATTACCGTCATAACTTTTATTTCTATGATCATCACTTTTATTTCTATGATCATCATCACTTTTATTTCTTTGATCATCTTCCCTCTCTCCAACCTCATTATCATTACTATCTTCATCATTAATGACTACATTGTTCCCATTATCTCCATTACTCTCACCTTCATCATCATCTCCCTTTTCTACATCCTCCTCCTCATCATCATCATCCTCGATGAAAATGTCTTCATTAGAAGGTACAGTAATTTTAGTAACGACACCATTGGCGGTAATGTAGTATTCGGTACTTTTATTATCTTTAACAAGAAGAGGCGTTACAACAGTACTATTGCCATTACTGCTTGCTGTCACTACACTGCTACCACTACTACAACGGCTGCTACTGAATGTTGTGCTGCTACTACTAACTGTATTGTTGTTAGTAGTAGTTGCAGGATTACTTAATAAGGCAATATTTCTGGCTGTCGTAGCAGTATTAGTAATTGTAAAAGTGTTAATATTAGCAGTAGTAGTAAAAGTGGCAGAAGAGGGTGTGTTAGTGGTAGATGTGGTTGTAGCTGAAGTGTTGATAGTGTTGTTCAGGCAGGTCTTGCCAACAACTAAATTGACCATCTTATTGCAATTGTTTCGGTATTTTAAGACCATTAATTTTTTTATGTTTTGGTTGTTTATGTTGCTGCTTCTGTTGTCAGAATTTGTTGTAAAAATAGTATTAACGCTGGTGCTATTAATGCTAACTATATTAGATAATCTGTCAGTATTAAGAGGTGTTGATGATGTTGTTGCAGAAGTTGTTGTCGTTGTTGTTGACCTATTACTGTCGTTGTTGTTGCAATCTTGGAAGTGAACAACTCTTGGTGTAATGTTAACATTCAGCATGTGAATATTGCTCGTAGGTGTATTGTTGTTAATGTTAATGTTATTGTTGTTGTTGTTATTGTTAGTGTTACTGTTGTTGTTGTTATTGATGTTACTGCTGTTGTTGCAATGGTTGTCTATAATATTCAGGAGAGGTCTAGCTTGCAGCAAATGACCGTTGCTAGCAGTACATGGATTGGCAATCATAATTTCATTATTGTTGAAGAAGTTAAGTTGAGGAATGTTTTGTATGTATGGCATTTGTGCTAGATTCCAATTAGTGACTAGTGAATTGTTAGGAAAAGTTAAGTTAGTGTTTGGAAGGAGAATGTTGTTGTTGTTGAAGTTGTTGGGGTTGATCAACCCAACAATCTGACTGCCATTCAAAAGAATGTTATTGTTGTTCAGTAACAAATTGTTGGTAAAGATGTTGTTGTTGGTCGGATTAAGTGTTGCATTGCTGTAAATGTTATTTGTGTTGCCAACAATAACTTCATTTTGCAAAAAGTTTGCATTGATGTTAGCAGGAAAGGCATTCAGCAAGAGGCTAGCATTAATGTTAGGAAGTTGGTAGATTGTTGGAATTGTAGGAAGTAAGTTGATGAACTGATTGACGCCATCGTTGTTTTTGTTGTTAATGTTTCTGTCGATGTTGTCGCCACTAAGGCTGTCGTTGTTGGTGTTTTCATTGAGAAGAATTTTTTCAAGTATCGGTGAGACGTTTGTCGTGTTTGAATTGTTTTTGTCACTTCTATTGTTGTTTGGGAAGTTCTTCAAATCTCTAAAACGATTCTTGAGATTTTGTATTATTTTGTTGACCCTTTGAGGAGAATTGTTGACATTTTTAAAAGAATTGTTCAAATTTCTATCTGGCATTTCAAAATTCTCGATTGACTCATTTGAATTTTTGACAGACTTGTTTGAATTGGCGATGGAGTCCATGGAACATGGTGGATCGCTCTTTTTTATAGGCTTTTTAGACCTAATCCGCTTACTTTGTCTGTTGACAAAATTTTTTTTTAAATGTGAACCAAATGATTGCAATTAATAATCATGGTCATCATATCATCATTCTATAGCACAATAATTAAAGTCATTCAAAGAACAACCATTTTTTTAAATGTTGGTGGCCGCTTTATAAGATATTTCAAATGAAATTGTCGATCATGAAGATAAAAAATTCAATATAATGATGAAATTTTCAACAAAAAATCAATTACTTCAATAGTGGTCGTGAGAATGTTCTTGACTTTTGTAATAATGTTTCTACAGAACGTGGCAATGATAGTATCGGTGATATCTTTGATGATGTCAACGATGTCTGCCAAGTTTGCGATAATGTCATTGATGTTTCAGATGAAGTTTTTGATGTGACTGATGTTATTACTGGTAAACAGCCCATATCCAGTTTGGAAATTTTTCTATTTTTTGATTGTTTATCGTTCATCATTGGCAATGTCGTCGGTGTTGTTGTAGATGTAGTTTGTGATGTTGCAGATATTGTTGTTCCTTTCAGCAAATGTTCCTTCAACAATTTGCCCGTTGGTTTGTTGGAATATGGACTATTTCTAAAGAATATAGGATAAAAATTTAAGTAATGGTATTTAACTATATGAATACCGATATACTGACTTGTTTGAATTGGAGATGATGTCCATGGAATATGGTGGATTGCTCTTTTTCATAGGCTTTTTAGACCTAACTAGCTTACTTTTTCTGTTGACAAAATTTTTTTTTAAATGTGAGCCAAATGATTGCAATTAATAATCATGGTCATCATCATTCTATAACACAATAATTAAAGTCATTCAAAGAACAACCATTTTTTTAAATGTAGGTGGCTGCTTTATAAGATATTTCAAATGAAATGGATGATCATGAAGATAAAAAATTCAATATAATGATGAAATTTTCAACAAAAAAATCAATTACTTCAATAGTGGTCGTGAGAATGTTCTTGGCTCTTGTAATAATGTTTCTACAGAACGTGGCAATGATAGTATCGGTGATATCTTTGATGATGTCACCGATGTCTGCCAAGTTTGCGATGATGTTATTGATGCTTCAGATGATGTTTTTAATGCGACTGATGTCATTACTGGTAAAAAGCCCATATCCAGTTTGAAAATTTTTCTATTTTTTGATTGTTTATCATTCATCGTCGGCAATGTCGTCGGTGTTGTTGTAGATGTAGTTTGTGATGTTGCAGATATTGTTGTTCCTTTTAGCAAATGTTCCTTCAACAATTTGCCCATTGGTTTGTTTGAATATGGACTATTTCTAAAGAATATAGGATAAAAATTTAAGGAATGGTATTTAACTATATGAATACCAATTGATGAAAAAAAGTAATAACGAGTAAAAATACTAAAAAATATTTTATAATTTCCATAAAATGAGTAACTTCTTGAATCATGTTCTTTATATACCTCTCAATATGGAGATTCTTTTAAAAGTAGAAGAATAAAATATTTCTATGTCTATTAACGCAATTTACAAAAACATTTTTTTTAGTTTAACTTAATCAAAGTCAAAAATGTCATGTCATGAAACTTACATACAACAACATATGCACATAAATTCCCTCAAACCATTCCCTACCCAACAACAAAATATTTAGTTGCATGTTTTTCATTGTTGTAAATGTTGCTAAATATGTTATTTTATTCAAACCATCTTAGTACATATACTGTTCAATTCAAATTATGCTAAACCAAATCAATCAAAGTGATTAAGATTTTCAATCCATTTTCATTTTTGAAGCCAAAACATTTTCTCGTCAACTTATTTTATACTAATTTTATTTTTATATTAAATTTATACTAATTTTAAATAAAAATAATTTAAAAAAGCAATCTAACTTTTTCACTTTCTTGCTCAGTTTAACCTTTTTTGCAGAAGGAATAAAATTATGATCATCATCATCACCGTCATCATCATCATCGTCGTCATAATCATCATTAATATTATTATTAGCTATGCTTTGATTGACATCTGCATCATATTCATCATCAAAGTGATAATAATCATTCACGATCATCTGATCAGTCCAGTTCATCAAATAATCGTCATCATCATCATCATCGAAAGGATCCTTTGTCATTTCGACACATGCTTCTTCACTAATGTCAACAACATCTGGACACATTGAAACCACATTACTGTGAACATCAACTCTTTCCAATTTTTTCCCTGGCGGTGATTTCAGGTCATCATTCGCAATCGAGGAACTACTCTGACTTGACATATCTTTGTTCTTTTCTTTGAGATTCCTCACTGAGGCTGATCTGACCACTTCATTTTGATGGCCATTTGCCACTTTACCCTTCTTGAATGAAAAATTCTTCCAATTCAATGCCATCGAATGTGGTTGATACACATCCACTTGAAATAATTCAATAATATCAGTTTAGTATTATTTAACATAATTCTTCTGCAATTTATATATATATATATATTTATATATATATATATATATTTTTACAATATTCTATAAATTCTACCGAATGAGAAAAATTGAGAAAACGAACTACAAACATGTTAATGCCAAATATTCTGTAGAATTAATAGAATATTGTAAAAATTATGGTCTATTACCAACATATATATATATATATGTGTAAATAATGTTATATATTATGTTTTTAAAAATCACTAAACTAAAATGCAAAAAATATATACTCACAGAATCTGACAACATCCACGAGTGACCTCTGTTACCGAGTTTATACAATAAACTAATTAATAAAAACAGTTAACAAATGTATGGATTATGTAAACTCTTAGTCTATACTGACTACTATACATATAGATGAAATCAATAAATATGTTAAAAGTGCACACAAGTATATAATACCTTATAAAACATAGACAACTTATTTAACTTATAAACTTATATAACTTATAAACATAGATAACTTATTTAACTTCAATCATAAAAAACATAAAAAAATCTCTACTATTTTAAATTGAGTAACTCCAATTTCACTATATAACTTCAATTCAAAACTCTAGTAAAATCTCAAGGATTTAAATTATTATTTATATTAAACTAATGTCTGATGACAATAAAATAATAAAGAACTTACTAATTTTAATTTGGCTACATTGACAGGAGGATAGTAATAGACATCTGACTTTTTAAAACTTCTGACCTCTGCATTCCTCATAACTATTTCTCGGATCCAACCTTAAAAAACGTTATTCATTCGTTTAATTTAAAAATTTTTAATATGTCAATCAATAGTTTAATTAATAATTATATTTTTATTTTATGCTGCTTCAATTTGCACATAAAGTTATAAACACTGTTTTTTCTTTTCAAATATATTTTTTTGCCTATCTGTAACTAGTCAAGTCTGCAATCAAAAAAATAAAAATAAAATAAAGAAAAGTCGTTCCGAACCTAACTGTAGGGGCGCCAATAAATTAGTCATATTGTCTTGGGTTTCTGACTCTTCTGCAGACGTCATCTCGCTTGCTTAATAATGGTAACTCGTTAACAAGTAGCTCTAAAAAAGCGAAATAATACTAATTTATTAATTAGTACTTAATCAACACTAATTATAAAATAGAGCACGGGCACTTAGAAAAAACAGATCATATATTTTATATAGCAAGATCATGTTAGTGAACTTGCAACCTAATTAATTAACTAAAAACGAAACTAAATGGATGCAAACTAAATGGCAGAATAAATATAAGTGCCAAATACGCAACAATCACTCAAATAAGAAAAAGGTTAATTAGAGTTGTTTAGGTTGTATTTAATATATATAATATACAATAAACAGTCCGAATACAAAAGAAAAATTTGTAATTAAAGTTTTGTATTGAATAATTAAATACATATATTGAATTTTTTATTGAATTTACATGTTTTTCCGACTTTAATAATAACAGTATAAGAATTGGAGTGTTTTATTATTGCTTGAATTTATTGCTCAGAGTCATTTATATAATATTTTGTGCGTAGTTCAGCAAAAAATATTTAAAAGTATCTTTAATTCATAATTCACAAATAATACACAAAATTTATTAATCAAATCTATACACTGACATTCGACGTAATTATTCTAGTTATGTGCGACGTAGTAACAAGCTACTCCCGATAAAGCCTTTTGTTTAAAGTGAATTTTGTCCCTTAACTTTTGTTGCCTGTGATTTTGTGGCTGACTTCTTTACTCGATTGAATCAAATTGTTTTGGTTTTAAAGCTAAGGCTCTGAATAGAAGGGCAAAGCGTCGTTGAACAGAAACTTTTAGTAATTGGACCAAAATAATTACATCTTGCAATATATAAATTTGAAAAATGCCTGTGGCACCCCCGGGAAGTTACGGCTATGGGAATCAGGGTCCCTCGTGTTTCGATCGCATGAAAACTGGATTTCTACTAGGTTTTTGTGTCGGCATGGCGTCAGGTGCTCTTTTCGGTGGATTCTCAGCTCTGCGATTTGGTTTGAGAGGTCGAGAATTGATAAACACCGTCGGAAAAACGATGGTGCAAGGAGGAGGAACATTCGGCACGTTCATGGCAATAGGAACGGGAATCAGATGCTAACTCCACTCCATTTGCATACTCGTCAAAGAATTGATTTTTTTAAATTTAAAATATACGAAAATTAATCCTTGAACGTTGTCTTGATTTTTTCGTATTTCTGTACATAAAAAACAAAAGTAGACATTGTTTTTTCATTTTCATGCCAATCAAGTAATGGAATTATTTTTGAATTTCCAAACTCGATAATGATAAAATGAATGTTACTAATAAAATAAAATAAACACCTCAAGTTGAGTACAATTGTTTTTATTAGTGAAATCCAAAACCACAACATGAACAACGTAAATAATGAATAAAATTGTACAAAAAAAAGTTGTATGGCAAAAATACAAAATCAAACGTTAAATGCATTAATAGTGATTTAAAAAACTAAGTGCATCAGTAGTTTTCACTGGGCTTCACAAACAAAGCAACACAAAAGCATACTGAACACATCATTGAAATGTTAAATTACTTAGAATTCAATATATCTATTAGTTGATAACAGAAAAATTTAGATATTCAAATCTTTTGTTTGTATTACACTGTTCCAGTGAAAAGCTTTACAAGTTACAAAAACTTTAAGATTACATACATTCTATAGGAATGAAATCCAATACGACCTACTTTTCAGCATAGATCTTTCAACTTTAAGAAACTTTAAAATTTACCAATGAATTGAAAAATTGATGTAAAAATGAGCAAGGGAGACTAGAAAAAAGCATTTTACTCAATAAATTTAAGTAGTATAGGTTAAACATCTAACATCACAACATGATAGAAATAACATACATCAATAAGAAATATATAGTTCATGTAAAGTAATCAGATTAATTAATTAATATTAAAGCATTACAACTTTCTCTGCACATTCCTTACTCTCCAAATGAAACCGACAGTCATCATTAAATTTCATTCAATCAAAGAACAATATCTACTCGGAACATATATTTAAATATCATACAATTAATTTGATATAGAGTGATCGTACATATTGCAAACGCAACTATCTTAACAAAGGTGCTCTAAGTATCTTCACCAGAATCTAATGTTCTGCCCCATACCTACAAACAGTTTGATGAATTAACGACTTGCCACTGCATGATCGATGTATCTTTCCCTCCGGTAGATATCAACCTCGTGTCGTCGTGAAGGAATTTTACGTTGGTTACGTGACTGCTGTGACCTGAATAGGAGAAGCCTGGACTCTATGTTGGAGAATAACGTTGTTAGAAAAACATTAATAATGCTTATGTAGTTACATTTTTGCTAAATTCGTTGCTTACTCTCAATGTAACATCGCTAAGCAAAATTACTCCAATGTATGCAAGCACAAGCCAATGCTTGTGTTTGTCACGATAAGTCACCGTTGCACGTCTATTTAACCATTAACTTTTGAGCAAGCAAGCAAACAAATAAACCTTTGGATGGAAAGCAGGGTAGGCATAAATTGCCACCTTTCCAAAGTCGTCAGCACTGACAATGTCGTAGTTGTCATGTGATCTCGTGCAAGCATTTATATCCGTTCCATCGACACCTTCCGGCCAGATACCTTCAAATGAATTAACAGATGGACGGTGAATGAATGAATAGCCACGTACATGCCCCATTTCAATGAAAATTCTTAGAGTGAATACTGTGAAATTTCAATCTAAAAATTATCGCCATGCAACAAATTCAGTGCTAGCAACGTTCATGAAAAATTTATATGAATATTTTTCTTTCAAAAAATGACTAAATTAAATATGAGACAAACCACAGCTAGAGAAGCAGAGAGTGCAGTTAGTTGTGGCCCAAACAACATCTCGCAAGGTCGATGCGGTTGTTATTTGTTTGAATGTTGCCATGTTCCCTGGTTGAAACATAATTTAAAAACGAAATTACTGATTTTCAACATTATATCTAGATTTATTTGAAGGATTTTTTAATCAATAGTCTAAAAAAAACGAAATTATCTGAGTGAGTAAAAATTGCCTACAGAAGAGTAGTTCGTAATCTCCGGAGTTACTTTGCAAGTATTGGCTATCAATTGACCAATCGACATGCAGAATAAAGCTGGAATGTCCCTGAATTAATAAGTACGAAATAGCATTGTGAATCATAACTTATCAAACTTCACATACTTCACTGCATTTACCACAATACATTAAATATAAAGCCCTTTGTAACAATTAGACAGATAAACATAATTCAGGTAAATGAATGAAAAACATGAAACAAATTTTAACCACAAGTCATTCAATGAAGTATCATATAGAGACACGTTCAGTGAGTTACGTACAGAAAGTGAAATGAAAAGTTTGGTCTACACGTTGACTTGAAAGCAATTACGTCATTACTCTATAAACGATCACTTGCTGAAGTCTCTCAACATCGATTATAAATGGATGCCAGACGTCATTGCTTCTCTTGCTAATAATAATGGGAGGGATATGGTAGGGCAATTCCAGCCTCCAGGTTTAAATTTCACGGACACACTAAAACAAAAATCAAATAATAATAAGTAAAATAAGCCTACCGATAATTTAGCCACTTTTGAATATTTCTTTCCATCGTCGGCAACTGAATAGACGTATATAAAGTTATCTCTCGAGCCACAAGCCAACATACTACTTTCTGGATTAGAAAATAAAAAATTACCTGATTGATGCAGTAAAAAGAATATTTATTTGAAAACTAATTTAATCAAATTTAACAACAACTATTTAAAAACTAATTTAACGTTTCATTCTTTCAAGAAACATAGATCATTTTTTGACATGTTTGAAAAGTTATTTGGTGTAATGGAGATAAAAGTGAAAAAAATTTGAACGCATGAATGGAGTAAGATTGATAGAAAGAAGGAAACTAACCAGGTGAGAACTGAACGCATTCAATGCGCTCAGTAGCATCAGAGTTGCTGCCAACAACCTCTCTGCTGGCAACATCGAACACGTACCAGCGCGGGGAGGTCCCAGTTACGATTGCAATCTGACCTTCGGAGTGAATGGCGATGGCGTGGCAACTCTCCTGCAAGAATTTCAATCCTTTCTATACATACAATTTCAATCCTTTCTAAACATACAATTTCAATCCTTTCTATACTTACACACCACACACTTAACCTCAAACCTATTTCTTCAACGTAAAATATAAAAATATACCCGCAGACAAGTTTCATTGGACAACAATATTGAAAAAGTATTGTATAGCTCTTAATAGAACCATCAATGTTACGCAGTATCTTAGTGGTTGTTGAGACGGTTTTTATTTATTAAGAGTTATATTTTATTTTTGTACGATGTCTGACTTCCAGACGGGCACAGAAATTGAACTTCAATCCATTTGAACCATCAACGGATATTGTAGTGCTAGGACACTGATAGCAAATGCATATAAGTTCATGACAAAAAGTTTAAAGAAAAATACAAAGAGAAATAATCGAACAGGCATCTCCTTGCTCCAAACAACTCGATGCGTGGGTGAGTCCCAGAGATAGAGCATCCTGTCGTAGCCACATGTCAGGAATTGGTTCTGAGAAGGCAGGGTTGCCAAGCCCCATAACTCTTCAACGTGACCCTGAAAAAATACATTTTTAAATGTTTTTTATTTGAGGATAAAAGTTAATTGAATAAGATTTCAAGATCAAATGATCAAACTGAGATTATTTTTAAATATTATATATCGGCAAAATAAAGAGCCTACTTGAACAACTGGATTGAACTTGAGATCAAATGATCCTTGAAGGATGCAGTTCTTAGTGGTGCCAACAAGAAGAACGTTACCAGCTCCCTCACTAATTTGACGAACTGGTCCATATGCTTCCGGCAACTTGTTAGAAAAAAATGTTAACATTCAGCAATTCCAAACATTCATGTATGTTACAGAAAGAAATACACAAACATGCTTATACACGTGATAAATACAGACAGACGAACATACAAAAACACGTCAGTCATAAGCCTACAAACACACACACACACACACACACACACACACACACACACACACACACACACACACACACACACACAGAGGCATACACAACAGATACATGTACCTACCTACCTCATATTCAACTTTACTTCTCTCGTAGCCAGCGTCAGTTGATACCCACTTGACAATCTTCTTATCCTTTCCTCCACTGAGCAGGCAGCCATCCTTCAGTATGCAGATGCAGAACACACCACCCTCGTGTGCACCCGTCAGCGCCTGATGAACTTTGTTCGAACCTATGGGTGGAATGTCTCTTGGTAAGTAGATGTTAGCATGCTATTTAAAATTTTGTACCTATATTTTTATGTCAGTGTGCGTTTGCGAATGTGCTTGCTTCGTAATGTTACATTAAAAAACAAGTTCACATAAAACTTGTGTTTTATCTGAAACAAAAAAATACTTTTATTGATAATAGAAAATAAAATCTAATAATAATAATTTCAACACCTTTAGACCAGATGATCAAGTTGCCAGCAGAATCACCTGACACAACTTTACCATTCTCTGTGAATGCCAAACACGTCACATATTTTGGTTTCTCCAACTTCTGTTTACAAATAAAATACAAATTTAACAGTACCAATTTGACTGAAATTAAAATGAAAAATTACGGAGCCTTCACACAGAAAACTTTTCAAAATCAGAACAAAATCATTTAATTAGAAAAAATTCAACAACAGACCTCGAATATGCCAGTTTTCTTGACAACGGATGTTCCCTCTATGGACCAGAATGTAATCTGCCCCTTCCCGCAAGTTACAATGGAGTTTGCATCGACAGGGTTGTACTCTGCAAAGAAAACTGGATCACCAGAGTTCTGCAGATCAACAAAACAAACCACTTGGTTTACTTGTTGGTGAAATTACAAAAAGTTATACATCTTTTACAAAACACATTTATACATGTATAAGAACATGAAATATTTTATTTGACCTCAAAAAGTTAAATAAAATAAGGAACAAGATGACAATGTGGAGTCAACAGTAATGGATATACATAAACAACCAAGTGGCAAGTGAGAAAGAAGAAAAAAACCTTTGCCTCCAGTATCTTGGTTCCCTTTTCTGATTTCTGCCAATCCCAGACGGAAAGAACGTGGTCGTTGGCGTCGTCCACAACCGCCAAGTGGTTACCGCCATCCTAGTTTTTGTGTTTCAAAGGTTTTAAACGGTAATTTACGTAATAAACGTTAATATAAATCCTTGCAAATTCATGAAATACAATAACATTGTCAACCATTTATGATGATACTTTATAAAATTAATCGCAGACGAAGGAAACCTCAATTGAAAAGACGTGAAATGATAATTAATTTCTCAAGAAATGACAACAACAGAATATGAAAAATAAAAAAACCGATAAATTTGAAGAAAAAAAAAAATAAAAAATAAACAAAAAGACAGCCAACCACTTTGGAGAAAGTAACACAGGAAACTGCCCTCTCGAAATCTCCAAGACCAATAATCTTCAGTGTGGCCAGCGTTATGGAGTTCCATATTCTAACATGAGGCTATGTGCATTGGTTGGTTAGTTGGTTGTTTCGTAAATGTATTAGTAGAGACGTCATTTTATACTATTTTGTACTGAAAATGTAATCTATCTTGCGTCTATTCCCATCATTTGTCTTGTAATTGTATCGCTAATTGTTACATAAGCGTGAATACGAAGTAATAATTGTAATGTTATATACAGCAGTAACGCCTATCATGGTTGGTACGGTAACAAAAATTAAAACAAAAGTTGCTAGTAAAAATGTTTGTAGTAATATTAAAACTTATAATAGTAGCAGTAGTGGTTATGTCTGTATTAGTATTAGTAGTAATAGAGGTGGTATTCAAATACAGATAACTGTGAAGTAGTAATTGAAGAAGTAGTTGTGTTAGTATTGAAAGCAGTAGTAGTAAAAATGGTAATTGTTGTAGGGGTAATGAAAAAATATAATGAAAGAGAATCCGTATAAAAATATATCCTATGTATTGCTCGAAATAAAGAAAGGACCAGTAGTAACTTTTTTTTATCTGATATTGTGAAATTATGAATTTAAACCAAATGTCTAATAAACACTAACATATTTAGGGACTAAACCTCATTAAATGGCACATCATGATACGATTATACTTTTCAAGAATTCAGATGAGCATAATAATGTGTAAATTAATATATTTGCAAATTTATAAAAAATGTTTCAAACACTGTTTTTAAGATAAGTCTACAACCTAAACTATTAAATCCGATGTAAAAAAATAAATAAAAAAGTTTTGTATTCTTTGTAATGAACATGAGTCATGTTAGCTGTTTATTCATCAGATGATAAGATGATAGACGTGTGATGTCATATGTGTGTGTGTGTGTGCGTGCGTGTAAGGCTACGCGCGCTGCGAGCGTGCGTGCGTGTGTCGTACTGTAGTAGTGTTTCTAATGTTTTAATGTAATAATGGTGGTGGTTTTCATGTGATGTCATGATGTTTTAAGGAATGGCAATAATATGAGAATTTGGAATATAAGTGACGGAAATTTCATGTTTTGCTATATGGTGATGTAAATAAAATCAATGGTAACCAAATTAATGTCATGACCGTCACGTTACAATTGGCCGATATCATCAATATGTATTTGAATAAACGAATTGATTTAGGACTATGAATGTTCAAAAAGACAAAATTATATAAAAATTTAGTTCCTAAATTTTTTAAACAAAAAAATAAAAATAAAATCAATAATATTATTGAACACATAGAAATTCTTCATGTCATAAATTTGGAAAATAATGTCTGTATAAAATTTGCATCCAAATAATCTACATTTGCATGCTAGTCAGACTGACTGTATGTATGTGTCCATATCCATATCTTGTTAGTACGTTTGTTTGTTTGTTTGTGTGTGTGTGTGTGTGCGTATTGTATGTGTGTGCGTATTGTATGTGTGATGTGTGTGCAGTGTGACATAAACAAGGATAGGTAACACCTGTCAATATAGATTGATTCAATGAGTTTGAATGAATAAATCAGGTTCATTAAACTGCACACCTATCTGCTTATTCCCTTGCTCTGCTTGCTCTAACGTGAACTCCAGAATGATCTAATCATACTACGCTTTGAGATAAATACATTTTAGAAAAAATTTAACTAATTAAAACGAACATTTTAAAATAATAAAATAAAATTTTGGAATTTGAATAAAAATATTTCTCAGATCCTGTAACCATCACATAATAAAAAAAAAAGTAGGAAGCAAAGCAGATCAATGCAAAAATATTATAACAGTAAAAATATGAGCCAACATGAACATTATTAATGTGAACGCCGGTTGCATTGGATGGATGTGTGTCCCTGACTGGCTGCATTGGATAGATGTATGTGTGCGTGCGTGTGTGTGTGTGTGTGTTCCTTGTTTCTGTCTGCTTGGTTGTTATGACAGCAATATTAAAAAGTTATAAAAAAAGAGGCCGATGATGACGACGACGACGACGACGACGACGATAGCAGGAACTATGACGGAGACAGGAAAAAAAATCTGCACTATTTTGGTGACGACTGAAATAAGCAACTACATCAGCATGATGAGATTTGTGGTGACGTCGATGATGACGTCCCCACTATTATCATAATAGTGATGATGATGACGACGATGATGATGATAGCGATGACAAAGAGAATGAGTAAAAGTGATTTTAAAAGGACTACGGACTACAAAGGATTGTAAAAATGGTCTAACGAGTAGAAGTGTAGCTCGGAGTTTATGCAATTAAGTAGAGGATCAAAGGAAAAAGCATTCTTATGTTCAACTGTTTCTAACTTGCAACTAATTAAAACGAACATCATTTGAGACAGAATTCAAAATATTTAAAAACATCAACTGTAAAAAAAAACTTGAAAAATTTTCAATTGCAACAACTTATAAAAATTCTGCGAGTAAATAAATAAATAATTAAATAAAATTGATTAAATATTCAAAACTATAAGTTAGCATTAATGAGAGAACTATCCACCGATGCATAAAATGTACAAAAAACAATAAAATGACATTTAAAAAACATATTAAAGGTATAAGATAACGATCCTAACCAATAGCTGTTGCTTGTCTAGATTATCCTGCTTTCTCATTGGCTGCTGTATACGTGTGTGTGTGTGTGTGTGTGTGTGTGTGTGTGTGTGTGTGTGTGCGTGTGTGCAAATCTGTGTATGAGTTGTCCACGTGCGTGTGCGTGTGCATGTGTGTGTGTACAGTTGTTCAATTCACCACAAGCTAAGCACATAGAAGTTTACTAATCACAAAAGTTTGCATAACAATACCTCACAGTCATAAAAGAATGTAAAATACATAAATACGCTTACCATCACAATCTATCCACAATATAATTTAATTATAATGAAGCAAATTATACACACAACAAATGCCAATGAAGCCTTTCTCCCATTAACCAATAAAAAGAAGACTAATCAGAATGCAGAGAAATATGCTAATTCAATAACTGACCTTGCCCTCTGACTTGTCGTGACCCGCAACTTGGCCCGTTGCTATCGTTACCTTGTCTGGATGGATAGCTATACTGCAAAGGGCGGGTGATGTAAAAGAACAAAATGGTATAAAATAATATCAAACTATATATCATGGATACAAATTGTGATATCATAAAGGATGTTATGATATCATAAAGGATGTTATGAGTAAAATCAACCATCACAGTGATGGAGTGGATGATTTGTTTTGACAACAGAAATCAACATGAACGTCGTTTGCTCGTTGTTGTTTCAACATTATTGCATGAATGCTTATTTAGTGTACGATTGATGCTACAAATTGTCTCCAGCCCCAAGCAACTTTTCAATGATAAATAATTATTGGGAGCTTTATGACATGGTGTAAAAAATTCGATGCTTAATAAACTACTGAATATTTGTTATTACCTTTTTATATGTAAAACGTATATGAATACGTAAAATTTCTAAGTTATAAAACAAAACCTGAACAACAACTTTTCATCATTCATCACTGAAACCATTTTTAAGTTCAAGCATTTGCACACAAGCCTAACTTCTCATATGTGATAACATACAAGCAGGCATGAAAACACTCAAGACACAAACATGAATGATGACTAAATTCATATAAATCCTTAAGCACATACAAACCATCAAGCGAAAAATGTACAAACTCATACATGCATACGTACAAACCCATCCATGCACACAAAAATACAAATACACAAACCAAAAAACACCAGAAATACAAACCATTTAATATCATCAGTGTGCCCAACGTAATGCCTCTGTGTTTGTTCATCCACATTGTAGAGGACAGCCACAGCAGCTATGAAGTACACTATCTCGCCGGTCGGGAGCATGAAGATGTTGGATCTGGCATCCTTGCCTCTGTAGCCGTAGCTGAATTGTTGAATGAAGATGATTCAATCTTTCCGTAATAATTATTATCTGCAGTGTAGGATTAGAGTTATAAACAATATATACATAATTTATGTATATAGACGGTGATAATCGTTTGTAAGATGCTTTTATCAGATCCTACCTATCCATCAATGACTGTCTTCATCAACCAAATTATCATCAAAGGTAAATATAAGAAAATATTAATCAGGACAAATTAGCAGCTGTTTAAAAAAATTCAAAATTGATGTGACTCAAAACAAAGGGCTCACTTGAAATTATACAGGAAGATAATAAAAATAAAAAACATACACCCATTCGAGGATGAGTTTATCTCTAGGTGGCTGTGCCTGGATCCTCGTCAAAAAGTCATTCCCAAGTAGAGATGGGGCATAAAATATCAGAGGCCGACCTCTCACATAAAACTTCATTGATGCTTCAGCTGTGAACATCCCACAAAGAAACAAATCAAGTTCAAAAGATTATTTATCTAGCAATTTGCAATTAAAAATAAAAATTTAAATTACCATTTTCTTTAACAGCTTCTAATTTTTGTTTTCTGAAAAACATTGAAAATAAAAAAAAAATAACCAGCTTGAACATATACTTATTATTGTACAACCTTTAAATAAAACAAGAGACATACCTTGCAATTGCAGAACTGTTGGAGAGACTATCTATATTAGTAATTTTCTTATGTGCATCAGAGAGAGGTCTTGGAGATGTAGTTGGAGAAAGTTGTTTGGTGTTGGTACTCCTAGAACTTGACTGAATATACTTGTGATCCTTGGTTGTGTTGCTTGTGCTGCCGGGAAGCATTGGTAGTGGAGGAGGATAGCGACCTGTTTGGGCTGGCTTTGATCCTAATGTTTGACTTGTTGCACTGCTCAGTTTGGCTTAAAAATATATAAATAATTTTTAAACTATGATGACCAGTCAGTAAAACGCAGATAGTTATATCAAAAAGGTGATAAAATTAAAATAAATTTCAATAATTCAGTTTTATTTTTTTAAATATTTAGTGACAGGAGTGAAAGAGAAGAAATGACGAAAATCACAAAAGAACCTGTTTCCAAAAGTGTCAACCTCCTCAGGGCATCACTCAGGGCACTTTTCAAACAGATAATTTCATCATCCTGCTGTTGACATCTCTTTTCCAATGCACTGATTCTATCAGGAAAATTTCCATAATCATCAATGGCACCCTCTTGAGAAAAATAATTTGTAATAAGTGGAAAACAAATAAATTTAAAAGTCTATCTATTTATTTTATAATTATGACATGTTATTTATGAATTATGTGACATTATGCGAAAAATTGAAATAACACTTATTTTAACTCACCCATGGATGTGTGTAAATAAGCAACGAAGCAGCTAATTTATTTCAATTCAGGTTTTTAAAAAAATAAGTCAGAATGAAATATTGGGAGAAATTGAATTCAACAGACGTGGGGGATGCTAGCGACGCAGGGCATGACGAATAATAAATAAGCAAATGCACATACAACGTACATGCACATATTACTGTACGTGTACATCTGACGTACACTCATGCATTTGCTGTGCATTGTGAATTAATTCAGGCATTTGAACGTTACTTGGTAGATAGATGGTCTAATATAGATGCAGCTGATACACCTTATCGCGGAAAATTCACCGTTCGACCGTTCAAAAACACGAAAAAGACAGTTTATTCAGTATTTAATAAACTTCTATTTCAAAATATGTAAAGAGTTGTATAAAAAATGTCTCAAACAACTTAGAAAAATATTCATAATCGATTAATTAAAATACAAAATAGCGTTTGTATACAAGAAAGCACTATAAAAGAAAAAGTAAACGGTAGCTCTAGAAATCGCAAGTTAAAACAATTAAAATAATTTCAAGTAAAAAACATACAAAAATATATTAAAATTCAAATTGAGGCAAAATCACAGCTTCAACACTTTGAACACCTGTAAAGATAAATAATTTTAAAATTGTTTGAAAAGTTTAAAAGGAGTGAGTGATATGACAGCACCGAATTTAAATTGAATAACGACGCGACAAACATTAGGAATGTAGTTGCTATTTTTACGAACTTTAATTTCAGTATCAGACGATCCACTGAGAAGCATGTCGTCGCAGACGACCACACAGTTGACACCTCCCTGGTGCCGTTGCAGGGTTTGAATAGGCAGCATCTTATTGAGGCACCAGAGCTTTAATGTTTACGTATGCGAAATTTATACACTACAACATGCATTACAGCAAAATAAAAATCATACATCATTTTTGGCAGTCTTTTCAAATTCCACTAAACAATATATTAAAATTGTGAGTTTCACGTCAACTAGGAATAAAACTGTCTTGATGTCAGAAGACCATAAAATATAATAATATCTAACCAGGAGTGTGCTATCGGATGATCCGGTAATGAAGAAATTGTGCAGTGGGGAGAGAACCATGCAACTTATTCTTCCAACATGACCAGTGAAGTGATGCACGAACGCTAACGTGTTCACATCATATGCATGAATGTTCTTATTATATGTGCCTGTTGTACGTTTAATTCAATGAACAGTACATAAAATAATTGAATACAAGCTTAAAGAGTATCTACATCGATGTTTTCAAATAACGCCAATAAGTAACGAATGGTATGATTATTGATATGTCAAACATAAAGAAGACACCGTTTAACAGCAAAAAAACAAAATCAGTAAAAAAAACTCCGCACCAATGATGATGAGTTTATTGGAGACCACCAAAGAATCCACTGAACCAAACTGGTTTTTAATGGTACCCAGCAATTCGAATGGATAAGTGGCGCTCCATAAATTAACTGTGCTGTGAGATCCACTGTACAACTTATCCTGCACAGTTTGCAAATATATTAATATAACATCATTCAAATAAGTTTGCACATAAGAATTCGAAAAAAATCTTGAAATGAACTTGTGTAGAAACAAAAATCAATAGAAAGGGAAATTTATAGAGTTGTGAATGAATGGTACCTTCTTCGAGTTGATGGCAAGTGCCTTGACCCAGTGGTCTAGGCCAGTGAGTGCATGCACGGGTGACAATGTCTCACAGTTCCACACCTGCGAATATCAAGGAACGAATGATTCAATGAAGGAGATGACAAACGTCCTCATCGTCGTTTCCATCTTTGTTTCAATCGTTAAAAAAATTATTTACCGAACTTTGTTCTGTTCTTTGCTTAAAAAATATGCCATTATTCTAGCTAAAATTTTAACATGGACAAGTTTTAAAATAATTGTAGCAATTTATACAGAAACATGAAAACACAAATATACTCCAAATTTTAACTAATTTGAAATTAATCAAAAGCTAAAAGAATAAACATTGAAAAAAATGGATATCATCTTATTGATAAAAATTTCAGCAACAGCTCTAAGAGACCTTGATGACAGTGAAGGAAGACGTGAAGAGCAAATTATTCGAGCATACAAGGGCAGTTATGTTGTGGTCATGAGCACTCTGCAGGAAATGCAACGTCATTGTTAAACAATATTACATTTTAGTACAGAGTATATAAATTCCAATTGAACAAATACTTTTTTGTTTTGAATACTTTATCGAATACGCTGAATAAATCAAAACAATCAAGTTGACGAAAGGCATTGTCATTTAGTTTATTTATCGGTCATTCTAAAACAATATAGAAACAAATGAATGGATGACAAAATGGAGATAAATGACGGAACTTCAACTGTAGCAACTTCGGACATGTTGGTGAGGTTCCAGCACCTGAGTGACAGGTCCTCCCCCACGCTGTACAGGTGGTCATTGTTCACTGTTATCATGTTTATCTGCCGGAGTGAGAGAAAGGAAAACAAATTTTGAAGTATAATTTACAATTTTCATAACTATTTCATACTGAGTGGATTTGACGAGGATATATATTAAAAAAGTATCAATAAAGATAAGTATTGAAATATATATATAATGAAAGAAAGAATATTAAACAAAGACAACAAAACATCGATGGGAGACCATTTTTTTGCCAGCCTTCAGTGTGAGTTGGCAGCCGAGACAGGGATCATCGAGTGACCACATCTTAATGTTGGACTGGTCATCACTACTGAACACCATCTTCTTCCACATGGTGATGCTTGTAACTGCTGACTGGTGGCTCCTTCATTTTCATCAACGATTTAAAAATATTATTGACTTTTTTTTCCTTTTCTTTAGAAATAAAAAAAGCAACTATACGAAATTAAAAACTAATCTATACAACAGCGTGAAGTTTACTTGATTGTGCCAACACATTTGAACTGAAATGGCATTGTCCAGTCATGAGGGAGTTTTGAGTTGTTGCTTGAAACTGACAACAGTTCCGTTGACTCGACTCCTATCGATGACCTTGCATCCAACTCATCATAAACTGGCTCTGAAGGAAGTTTGCTCACAATCCTGTCAACAAAAAAAGAATTTTCATATTCAGAAAAAATTATATAAGGTGAATATGAAATGATGTTGAAGCATAAAATGGAAACCTTTACTTTGTTTTGCTGGCCACCGCTCGGCTATTACTGACTGCATCCTCTAGTACTTCAATCCTACATGTCAGCTCATTCAGTTTAATCATTATCTCTTTCTGAGAGGTTTTGAGAGCTTCCAGCTGCAAAAATTTAAAAATCTTCAAAATGAGATAAAATTTTTACACAGGATGAGTAATAAAACAATCTTGAAAGAAAAATAACAAATGTAAAAAACATGAAATTTATGAAAAGCATCTCAAGATGCAAGTATAAAATATGGAAACATTTAAACAACACATCCTTAAATATGGAAGTTGATTAGTTGTATTTTCATACATATATAAAAGCAAAAGTACATTTTGAGTTCAAGACAACCAACAAAAATAAGATTATAAATGAAAAAATAAAATAAAATGCCTTTCTACTAAATAAACAATGTAAACAGGCAGAGACAGGCAGACAGATAAACAGACAGACAACCAGACAGATATATACACAAATTTTAAATAATAAAATACCTGATCAACAATGTTCATTTGTCTATGGTCATTCTCCTGATCTTGAAACAAACAACTTGATACGTGAAGGTCAACAATACTTTTCGTATTTTGAAATATGCAACCTAAAATTATTTAAAAAAAACGGATCTTCTTGAGTTATTAATAAAAAAAATCTTTCAAAAAATTAAAACATGATGAAGAACCTTCACTTGAACATAACCAACAAATTTTATTTTTAAAAAATAAGTGATACAAATGCAAAAATGTCAGCACCTTTTTTGTAGTTAGGGCAAGGATAGAACAGGCAAGTATTTCTATGCTCTATTAATTTGGTTTTCCATAACTTTCCACAAAGTTTTGGATTGTTTGGGCAATCCACCCAACTATATTTACAGCTATTTTCATGATCAGATTTAGATCCTTAGTTTATTAATTTTAAATATAAAGCTATGAAACACAAATTTAAAAAAATTTACTTAAACAAAAATTATTAAAAATTTATTAAAAGTCATCATTAAAATGTAGTTCTATACCTTCAAACCAAGTAGATTTAATTTAAATAAAGTCATATAAATTAAAAAAACTCTCAAACCATAATCTAAAACAGCAGAGCAGCCATCTTCATGGGGAGTGTTTGAATACCTATTTGTAAATGATCGACTGTATTTGCAATAAAATTGTAGGTCATTTATTTGATCCTGAATGTTCCTTAGGAAAAAAAATGTTACAGTGATTAGTTAGTATTAACAAAACAAGAGTAATTTAATTGAAATGTAAAATGAATGACTTACAATGTAAGTCTTACATTAAGTTGTGATGTTCGTTAATTGATGTTATTATTAAACTCAAAACTATTATAATTTATTATTATTTATAATTATAATATCTTATAATATGATATATAATTGAATTTAATTAAAAATAAAACTTGTAAAAAATTATTAAATAACATTTTAAAATTGTGACACTATTTAAAAAATTTCATCAATGTTTTTCAGTTTAAAATAAACAACGATAAAAATATAAAAACCTATTATTAACCACAGCTTCAAGTCGACAGGTGTCACCATCGAGGGGGCATTTGACAATTCCGGATATGACACTAAGACATCTCCGGCAAAATGTGTGGCCACACCTTACGTTGATTACCGGATCGTGAAAAACATTTCCACATGCCTGACAAATTAAATTTTTATTTAATCCGTTAACCACTAAATGGTCAACCCTTTCAAAACACTCCTCTTCTTTTTTAATACCTTGCATTTCATATTTTTACTTTTACACATTTAAAAGTAATCACAAGGGTAGTTTTAATTAATTTAATTACAAAATAAACATAAAATTATAAAAAATAAATATAAAAATTGAATAATATGCATATGTTAAAAATATAAATAATAAAATTTTTTTAAATTATTGTTTCAACAATTTTTTGTATTTGCTGTCTTTTTATAGTTTTATTTGTATATAAAAGGCCATGTTTTACTTCCGTCATTCCTGTTTTATTTTCCTTCACCGGTGGCTCTCCTCGTGTTCTTGTTTTACTGGCTCTTTCTTATTTATATTTCTAGTTTTTTCGCATTCTTACTCTATATTTGTTAATTTAAGTGCATTTTTCGTCTATGTTGGTTTATGTTGATCGTTCAATTTATTTTGTTTTCGTTGATGCAGTCTGACAGTTTCTTGCAGTCGGGCTATGATTACGAAAGTTATCCCTGTCTGAACAAATAATTGCGGACGAAATAAGTATGATTATGAGCCCGTATTTCATCGCGTTTATACTTTTAAATTTTTATTTTGTTATTTTTTTTTGTCAATTTGAGTGTGTTTTTTATGTTAGTTTTTTTATTTTGCTTGTCGGATACCGTATGCCGATGTCTTGGCCGTGATTACAAAAGTTATCCCTGTCTGACATAATGGTTGCGGACAAATAAGTATGATTATGAGCCCTACTTATAATTTATTTTTTAACTGTTAAGAAATTTTCGGTGCTTTTTTATTTATTTTCATAAACATGATGATACCGTAACTCTCTCTTCCTGATTTCTTTTGAAATTGATGAGTAACGTATCTGATTTTATGATTTCTATTTAAGTTAAAATAAATGAATATATCAAATTGGGATATACGACGGCAAAAAGTGATGCGTAACCAAACAGTTAATGAATATTCATGATATCTCTCTTTGTATTCGTACTGTCTGATTTTGCTGCCAAATTTTTTAATAGTGCTTAATAATGATTCCGCTGACAGTAACCAAATGATGATATCGCGGGATGGTATTATGTCGTGACCGGCTCGTATTCGTACACTGATTGGTTACTTTAACATTTTTGTTACTTATTCAAAGCACGCGAGGTCGTTGTGTGCTCCCCAAATAAAACGTTAACTCGTTGTCTTATTCTAAATATGTGCATGCGTGTGATTGCTATTCTTCAAATAATGACAATTCACTACGTCGAATTCTATTAACTGGCAAACAAAAGTTCACAATCAGCAATGTATCGTAAATTGTTCTGTAAATAATGAGTCGTTTAGTTTACTTCTGTAAGTTGTAATCCACATAACTCGTTTAGTTTACTTCTGTAAGTTGTAATCCACATAACTCGTTTAGTTTACTTCCGTGAGTTGTAATCCACATAACTCGTTGGGAAATATCCAATCTGGGAAACATTACATTTTTTAAATATTTTAAGTATGCTAGTGCATTTAATAAGAAACCTTTTCCCCAAGTTGTCCTTGCCACCATCCTTCGTATCCGACATTTGTGTTTAGTATGTTAATGATGTCCCCTCTTTCAAAAGGTAATTTGCCCACGTCTTTGCGAGATGGTTTGTAAGAGAAGGCTGCTCTGCACAAGTTGAGGGGTTTTTCAGGATTTCCTGGAATGTAGTTTCAGTTAATATTTCATATTTTATTGAAAAAATTACTTGTCTAACGAACTTTTTAATGTTTCCATTAGTTTGTTGTAGGGAAACAGTAATTTTGTTGGCAATTCTGTGAAAGCTAGCCCAAGCGACACGTTTTCGTAAAATTGTACCAATTCCTAAATTTAAGGCACATTTTATTTAAATTATCAAAATGCTGATTTACATGCTCTTACTTTCACAGTGTTGAAAGCATTACAAGGTTCAATGAAGTATTGGTGTAGTTCCTTATTAATCTTTATCCAGGAGGGCTCATTGCATTTGAGTGAATTACTGTTTGACCATCTTGGTTAAGTAAATTTGTTATTCATTAATTTTATGTTATATATGGCGAAAGTAGTGATGAAGTATCTGACAGACTTGACGCCGATGACGTAAGTGTCGTATGACTTTTTGCGTACAAGGAATGTACCGTCTGGCGTGTTCTCTAACATTTTATTTGATTCGGACCTATTTGTTTCTCCTACATACCTGATCAAAAAATTTTTCATTCAAGATTCAACTTTTGTATTGGGCAAGTGATATGCTGAATCGCTCTCGATAAAATGTACAGTAAAATTGTGTGTTTTAAAGTAACTGACTGACCATGCACCGAGCATTTCTTCTCTGTCGCGAAAGAATTTTGATACTTCGTCTATACTTGGCTTGTGATCGAGCTGCGCAGTTAAATAATATTTATCAGAACATTTTGTGAATGGGAAGTGTGTTTTGAGTGCTGGAAGGTTGTGGCGAAGTATCAAATTTTTGAACATAAATTAGAATAAGTAAAACAAATGAAAAGAAAAAATTTAACAGCAAATGTTTAAAAGCTGAGAAGCGTGTTACAACACTTGCCATGATCATTATATTTTTTGGAAAGTATCCTTGATTGTTGTCACATTTACCCTAAAATTTAATAATGTTTTAATTGTTTTTTTAACAGTCGACAAAAAATTATTTGAATATATAAAGTATATAGTTAAGTATAGCATGCGTAAAATGTGAATAAAAATGATTTTAACCAATATCCAGTCATCGCAAACTGATAGAATTTGAACAACACTCTTAGCGCCCAGGTGCATAACGTTATATTCCACAGGCGGTTTAGGGTTGCCACTGTAGTCAGTCAACACCAGACCATATGAAGTTGCTTTTACTCTTTCTTAAATTCAAATTAAATTGTTTCTAACGAAAAACTTGCAATAGATATTTCTAAAATTAACTTGCGAACAATTATTATCAAAGAGTAAAGTGTGCATAGCCTACTGAACTGCGCTCAAAAGAATGCAGTTCGTGTAATCTTTATTTTACATCCGCCAATTAAGCATGGTGATGAAGATGCAAGGCGTTTTAGATAAAATTTGTAGCACGGACCACATATTATAATTTTAATCTGGGAGAAAATAATTAAGGTATGTCATCACCATGCTTTTGTTCTCATAACGGTCTGCTCAAAAATGGAAATAGTGACATTTTAAAACTTTCTATATGATTGTTTATCTCTACAAGTCTATATGCAATTATGCATTGTAGTTTAGGTTATTGATATGAATTGAACTACGTATAAGTCTAACCTGTTGTTATTGGTGATGCTGAAAATGTTTTTCAAAAATTAAGTTAAGTATTATTGATCATTTGTTTGCATGATTATAAACATCAAGTTTATTTAGAAGATGTCAGTTGTAAGGCGATGCATTACAGAAGCAATTAATTATTTCATATACCAGAAGAATATTTTTTTATGACGCGAAATAAATAACGTACTTTTTTGTCATTTGTAAAGTTTTTATGATCTCAAGAACGTTAAAAGTGTTTTTGCTATTGAAAAGTTTCAAAATCTCTATTTTAATGAACATGTATTAAAGTTTGTGTCCCAACTAATTTACAAATATAAAAAGTACAACAAAATACAAAATGCTTTCACAATAATTAGTTTCTTATGACGTAGTGTCGAAATTTGATATTTATGGTTAAAAATACGAACTTATACATTGGATCTTTGAGATGCAGTCCTTGTGAACATTTTTCTTGGTATCTTGAAACATTTAACAAATTATGTTTAGAAAATTTAAGACAAAAAAACAGATTAAAAAATGATGTTTAAGAAATTTAAGATATAAAAATAGATTGAAAAAGTGACATCTAACTTTCGCATTGGTAACCTTGGTAGAATATGCCTCTAAAGAACGAAAAATCATTTTATGTGTTGCGTTTATATTTGATGAAACCAACAGTAAATATAGAATATATTAAAACAGTAAAATAAATTACTTGAGCAGTTTCTTGCATACGTCGCAGATTGTTGGAACATTGTACGTGTGAATTTTTAAATTATATGGAGTGTTTGCAGGAGATATTGTGCTGGAATATATTCTAGATAAGTTGGTCATTATATTGAAGTATATTTTTAAAAACGAAAGGCGAAAAGATAACGAAAAAAATATAAAAATGTTAAATTTAAACTTTGAGGTTTCAATAGCTGTAACCCATTCTTCCTTTTCTATTTTATCCTTAGCCTTGAATGTTGCAGTTTTCAAGACATTATCTCTGCTTGTTGAAGTGCTGGTCAATGTGAATGATCTTCCATTTTTATCCTTTGTCTGCTGCATCTTATAGTTGGAAAGAAGACAGTACCTTGTGACGACTAAATCACCTTGCTGATTGGTTGATCGAGTGTTCATTTTTGTATTCAATGTTATTTCTTATCAAAAATATAAAAGTAGGCTATTTTACAACAAGTAGAAGATTATTTTTAAAAAATCTATAAGCGTACCTTTGTTTTGGTGCAGATAAGCAAAATTGTGTCAAATAAGAATATGGTGCACCTGTAAAAATAAGAGAGTGTGACCGCGTAAGAAAAGAATGTTGCTAAAAAATAACATTTGAATAGATCAGTCGTCAAAATTACAGTGCCGTAATTAATACAGAATCCAATTACTAATGACTCATTAAATTTAAGTTTATCTCAAAAGCGTAACCCCACTCTTTTTCAAATTCTTTAACTTTCAGTTCGCCGTCTTTCACCAACTTCCCATAATCTCGAAGTTTAGCTCCGGCAGGCTTAAATAATTTAAACTTTATATGATAGCATGGCTTAAATGATTTTTATATGTCAGTATTGATTGAGTTGTAAGAAGATTTGATAAAAATCAAGTTATTCAATTAATCAATAATTGACAAGAATGATAACTCACCAATATTCTGTCGAGTTCTTTGATGCTTTGATAATTATTTAAAGCAGATTGTTAATTAATGGGTGAAAAAATGTAAAAACATAATGATTAATTATAACAGTAAATACTTTTTTTAATTCTAACGATTAATAATAATGGTGAATACCTTTTTTCAATTCTGTCAATATTTTTGATGTTTTCTACATCTCGCTTCACTTCGTTCACATATTGAGCCAAATCCTGCAAAAAGTCTTTCACTGAATAAAAAGTACCAAGGGAAGAAATTAATAAAACCAACTTCGACTTCCTCAATTGCTTTCGCGAGGATCTTTCTTTGCTGTTCATCTGTATCTTCTTTGTAACACGTCTGTTGACGCATTATATAAAAATAAAAATTAAACGGACATCTATCATAGAAATATTATAATAGTTTTTATTGCCTAAAAATCAAACTGATATACTAGTAGAGAGTACATACAATATTGTTTCAAAGTTGTCGACTACAACCTAAAGTATTAGGTTGTAGTCGTGGCGCCGTGATTGGTTTCAAATGCTGTGTGATGTGTGCTCGAATAGGCGCATATAACTTTGCGGTATATAAGTACTGAATTTGTTTCTCCATCTTTATTAGAGTAAAGAAAGTTGAGCGAGTAAGATCATTTATAAGATCGGCTGGTTAAAGAACAAAGTAGGTTTGAGATTCTGATACATGAGTGGATTTCATGTGTTTCAGCTTCTTTACTACAACTTTGTTTTAGTCACTTTTTTATCATTAATTTTATTTCTTAACTTATTTTCCTCGTACTGAAACTGAAATAACTAAAAAATATCTAATTACAAAAACCTTACGCACGCATTAAAAACAAAAATCCAGTTGAAAACTAATGCACGTTGTAGGTGTCTAGTGGGTGTTTGGTGTGCGCGTGTGTTTCGTGTGTGTTATAATTAAAATCAAAAATATAATTAAAATTTTTAAGTTAAAAAACAACCAGCTACCGTCATGAAAAGTGGATATTTAAGAATTCGTTGCATTGGAATGAGCAACAAATCTCGCAGCAAGCGCTTTCGTTGTGGATCAGTCTCTTCACATTTCTATAATAGTATTAGATTTATTTTTCATCGGCAGCAAGTTCGAAAGCTTATTATTCACATCTTGAAAAATCGAAATAAGTTATGAATGCAATTTCCAGCGCTTTTTAAAAATTTTATTGCAAATCACAAAAATTTAGAATCTCCTAATTTGAAAATTGTAAATCACGCAAAAAATTAGTCGGTAAACATTAGCAAAAAAATTCCATAGCAAATAAATGCAAGATTGTTGAGTAAACGAAAGCTTAATCAAGAAAATATATAACGTTATTATAAAGGCAAACTAACCTGGAAAGCCATTTGAAAGTTCGGGTTCTTTATAAGTTCAGCATAATGGTTCTGAGCATCAGTGATGTTAGCGCAGTACTCTCCATAAAGAAGGAACCATTCCTTGCACGTTATGAAACATTCGGCCACAGAGAGGCGACTGCTTTCCGTTTGCGTGTTCTCGAGTTTCTTTAAAAACTCTTTATGCACCGCGTACATTTCCTGGTCACGTGTAAATTCAATAATCATAATTTTTATTAAAAATATTCTATCAAATAATTTTGAATTTTAATTTAATAATTAATTATGACTTCTTTTTTCAGACAAATTAACGGATTTAGGGATTTTGAAAACGAATAACTCGAGAGTCACATTACATGACACCACACGGACACACACACACGGACACACGAACACACACATAAGCAGAAATATTCAAGTTCTGTTTCATTAAAAAAACTTTACAATGAAATATTTCAGTTAAATGTATGAAGGATTTAACACTTGTGCAATTTTAGTCACCAATATTTTAACATCAAGTTTTACAAAACGATGCCTTATATAAAATGAAACAGGTATGTTTAAAATAGACTAACATTTCTTAAATTTGTTAGCAATATTTTATTCTAAAATTCTATAATCTGTTAATAACTGGTTTTTTAGTGAGGAAATATTACTTTGTACACTAACCTCTATCTTGAAGAAAATGATGTCAATGGAAGCTTTCGGAATTATCGATTTTAATGGGATCAAAAAATTCTGCATAACGCGTTAAAAAATAAATTAAAATTTTCAATAATAAAAAAATAACATGCTAATCAAAATCGATCAAAACGTGTCATCATAAACTTTCTTATCCTCATTCACTCTTCAATTGTTTGTTACTTGGATGAGCGCCCTCATTAGCTCAACATAATTCTGTTCGGTGGTTATGAGTTCTTTGATGCACATGCTCTTTTTAGAAATCGACTCGACGCAAGACTCCTATTTATTTCAATTTTTAAACTTAAAAAATATAAAACTAAATTATCATTTTAAACGTTAGAGTTTAAAAAAAGCTTGAAACTTCTATATGCATTGTAAGAAAATAAAAGAAAGCTCGACTTAATTAATTCAGCTCCGCAGATTTTCCCAAACGAAATAATGTACCAGGCAGTGAAGTTTGGAATGAGGAATCAGAAAGAATTGAAAAATGATTGAATAAGTGTTCTTCTAGAAGATTTATTTATTGTCAAAACAAACGACTAATCAATAATAAATCTTCATTGAAACTTGGCAAGAGTGAAAGACAATAACACAAGTACACCACTCAGTTACCCGTCTCTTGATGTCCACAAATGATTTGTATATTTCTTCTTCGTCAGGATCAACCATAAAATCATTCACGTTTCTGTGAGCAAAAAATTTTGCTTTTGGTAAACTTTTTCTTCTCATTTTAAATAAGAAGTTTATTTTTCAATTTTGAAATGGCCATTAAATAATGAAATCACTAATATGTACCTGTACATCGTGTTCTCAAAGCCGGGTCTTGGAGGAGGCGGTGAAAATGCCGGTAGAGCTGTGTTGTTCGCCGGAGATGACATCTGAGACATTCTTTATTCATTTAAAAAATATTCCATCAACTAATCATCTACTTAAATTTATTATCTGTATTTCCATCTTTAACGGTTAATGAACAATTTGAAAAACATCGGATCATAAATTTATTTGTGCCAAAACTTAGTCAGGCCTATTAACTGCTCAACAGTAATTTTGCTTGGCATCATTGTTTTGAACATTAGATTAGTCATAAGGCAATTTATGAAAAACTAAAAATTAGTTAAAATCACAACCTTGATGGAACGAAATTGGCAGAAATTGAAAACCCGTTGCTACAAAAATAATATATTTTATTACAAAATTGTACAAACATTGATATTGTTTATTTCTAACCCAAATTTTTCTTGAGAAAAATTAGTCTGTGACAATTTTGATATCGTGCATAAAACCTGAAATTTGAAAAAAGAGACAAGAATTTATAAAGTTCAACAATTCAGCAATATCAGACATCACAAATCATAAAACTTATAACAGCAGAAATATTACCTTTTTGAGATTCTGTTCGTTTAATAAATCCTCTGGGAAGAACAAATCCTTTTTAGACATTTGAAATACTGTTTCACAAGTATTCAAAAATGTCACTAAGTTCCTATTTGCTAAAAACTTTTCAAGATTAAGGTTAACAAATTTCAAATACTTTAAATTTAAATTTTTAAAATTATTATTTAGTCAAATTTATAGTTAGGTGATTTCTCAAAACCATCTATAACAGACCTCAGATCTCTGGGGTCTTGAACTGAAATTAATTTTAGGAAGAGCTTTGGGACGGATAATGTTGAGGAGACGGCAGAGAATGACTCCATCTTTGATGTATTTAGCAACTTCGTATCCAATGTTAGGATCGCCAATATCCAACGATCGTTTTGTACTTTCAGCCAGCATAGGAAGTGCCTTCGTTTCTTGTAAGTATTTGACACATTTTCGCCAATCAGAAAAATTAGTTGCCATTTTTTCCCTTCAATCAATAAATTTGGGTTGAATTTAAAACACTGACAGTGCTAGTGAAATTATGTACGCGTTAATGTACGTTAATACCCAACCAAAGGCAGTATTAATTGAATATATGTAGTTCTCAAGTTGCTATTGTTCAGCTGTAAGGTTGACAAAACGAACTACATGAAAGATTGTATCGAATCTTTATATCCGCTATAATTTATGGTTGACGCACACCAATAAAATTGTCACAGCAGAAAAGCAGCGTTTAATTTACCGTGGTATTTTTCATTTATACAAATGGGGATATTCGTTTCTGACATTATCGTTTAATGTAAGCTAAATCTCGGACCGTTAACAAGTTTAGTGTATATAGTATAAAATGCATATGGATTCAATTGATTGAACTTCCTATTAACGATACGTTAATACGTTAACGATACACACACGTTATTTTCTATACAGAATAAAAAAAAACAAGATTTTTTAATCAATTAATCAATTTATTTTTCACAAAACAGAATGAAATTCCGCAACGTTGTTAAAAATTGAGGGCAAGAAAATTTGTAAACTAAAACGGAGTTGAACCTGTTAAAGTTAAGGAAATCATATAAAATGATTAAGATTTTGAATCAAGTTTTAGTTTACAATTGCGGCATCACAAATGAACAACAACAATGAGACTAACAATTAAAGTTAAACAAATTATTGTAATAAAATTAGTCATTTGATCTGAGGAACAACTGATAAAAATTATTTTTAATCAATAACAGATGTTAAAATCTCACTTAATTAAAAATATTAACACTGTCAGCCAGTTATCGAAATAATTATTTAATGTAATAGCATCATCACATGTAGGTTGTTTTCTGCGTGTATATAGCACGTTCCTGTTGAAATACATTTCGTTATACACATTTCATTCATTTCACTAATAAAGTCGAGGGATAAAGAAAAACTGTTAATAACAAAAATAAAACCAGAATCAAACAAAATGTCTAAAACAATTCCGTCTAAAATAAAATGGTGAAAAATGTAGTGAAACAAATATAAATTGGCTCAACATAAAGACAGTGTTCAGAAAAAAGCAGGAATTAATTTCAACAGTCCAAAAAAATTATCTAAAAAAACATTTCTAAGCACTAAATAGAATTGAAAAGAAAAAATGTGTTAGTCATGAACGAGAAATAATTAATTTCACTTCTCCATTAGTGTTGAACAGTCTGGTGGTCACGTTGGCTCCAACTCCCCATGAATCCTCATCAAATTCCAAGTCATGGTCACCCAAGATGTCAGGCTTCGATGCTTGGGCCCACACCTATGTAATACAAATCATATCCAAATTATAACATCAGGGTTCAAATTGATGGAGGGTTGGGGGGGTTTTACCCCCCTATCTCTAAAATAAGACCCCCGCAAAATTTGACCCCCGTACATTCAAAACTTCACCCGCCAATCCTTATGACCCCCCTACTTCTTTTTTCACAATTCGAACACTGTATAACATACATCTTGTTGATACCATATGGCAGTTTAATAGAGAAAAAAAACTGTTCCAATTAAACTGACCTTATATTTAGAAGCAGGTTCAATGATGAATCCTTCCTTGAATGTATATTCAACCACTTTACTGTTGTCTATGGTTCTCACAATCTTCCATCCACCAATATTCTCAGACTATCGTGATGAACAATGTGTGATGATTAAAACTATCAAAAAAATGTTTAAACCACTAATTACAAGAGTGAATAAAACCTAACTAAACATTATTTTGAAGTACAAAGCCAATTATTCCTTATCTAGATAACTTTCTTCATATTCAAACAATAACAAGTTGATGCTAGTAAACATTAAATGAATGACAGAGCGAACAATGAACACACCTTACGACTATTATTATCAACGAGAATATATTTTCCATCTTGTGGACATTCCCATAGAGCAACAGGACCTTTCGAGTTCTTGTGGAAGGTTGTCTTGGATGACAACTCACCTTTCAATGATTTACCTTTAAGGGAAAAAAATTAGGATTCATTGATAGATGCAAGTAACTTCTAATGAGTAAAATAAACACAATTTAAAACTCAAATAATTATTATAGAGGCATAAATAACAAAGAAGCTTTCCTTACTCAAGGATGAAGTATCCTGGGTAGAGTTTGTGAATGACTGCATACCAACTGAACTGCCATTGTTAACACCTCCATTAACTCCACCAGTCAGAGTGATAGTATTGGAACCACTGCTGACAGTATAGCTCGAAATACCACCACCAGCATTTCCGCTTCTTGATGAAAAACTATCAGCTACACCTCCATAAGCAGAACTTCCACCAACACTATAACTTGCAACTCCCCCACTACCACTGGAGTAGCTGCTGGCTCCTCCATATTCACTACCAGCATAATTGCCCATGGTTAGGCCATCAACAATATTCTTCAAACCTACCCTGATCACAAATCACAAAAAAAACAATTCATCAACTGGAAAATAAGTAAATTTTTTGTTAAAATTAAACTTAAAGTAAGAAAAGTTACAGAAAAATAGGCACAAAAATACAGCCAGGATACGTTTCTGCTCTGCCTACCTATTCTCTTCACCTTCCAGTAACTTGCGATAGGCAGCAATTTCCAGTTCAAGACCCAACTTGGTGTCCATGATGCTTTGAAGTTCAGTTAGTATAGAATCCATCTCAGCTCTCAACTTTGCCAGTTCAATTTTCAATGATTCGTTCTCATCATACAATTCCTTTTCACGAACCTCTGCCTCTCGTCTGACATTGTCAAGGTCACGTAACAGCTGAGCATTCTACAAAGATAATCAAAATAACTAATTGGATGTTCAAACAATGAATAAAAAAAGTAATTGGACAAACTGACAGTTTTAACGTAACTGCTACAAAAATGTTGAGCGGTAGTTGGAGATATGTTAACAGAATATGGTAGCGGGTTCAATTACACTAAGGAACAAATTTAAATTTATGTCAGCTATCTGAGTAAAATTATGTCCGACATATCAAGTTTTTTGCGCAGATTCTGAATATGTAATGAAAAATTATCTATCATAAAATGCTTTCACTTACATGAAGTTATGGCTTTAACTTTTTCAACCGAGTTTTTAAGTATTTTTTGATATTTTGTTAACAAATATTTTCAAAAAAAAAAAAATTTACCAAAAAAAGTTGAATCGTTATTTGAGATTTGTAACAAAATATGATAGCATGTTTAATTAAAATAATGAACAATAAAAATTGGACAAACTGACATTACTAAAACCAAAAATTTGTATGACACTAAATTCATTCCAAGAAAAATTATGCACACCATTTAAATAAAATAAATTCAAAATAATATGCTTTTAATTAAGTTTACAGGTACAATTATCAAAAGTAAAACTTAATTAACGTGAAATAGAACTAATAAACAAAAGAGAACCTTGGATTCTAAATCAACAAGCCTATCTTTGAGATCAGTGAACTGATTTCGCAACCTCTTTGATTCCTCCTTGGTGTGTGAGTTCTCGATCGATTGTCTGGTCGCTCCTGTTCGGAACTCTTGAATCTAATAATCAAAAACAAAAAATATTTATTCACTTAATGCTTACTGATAAGAAATTAACATGAATGATTAATATGTTCAATTGATTTAAATTGCTTAATTTTATTAGATTTTGTTTGGAAATTTTGGAAATTTGCAAAATACAAAGATTTTATATAATAATTGTGACAATGACAAGATTAATTAGCAAAACGACAATGTCTGTCAATGAAGATGTTGGCAATGAATGAAACACCTTAAGATTATAGAATCCTTCAAGTTCTCCCCTCATGACGTTCAACTTCTCATCATAGATGTTCTGTATCTCACGCATTGCCTGACCCATCTCAGTCTTCCAGAATTCTCGGTTCTCAGCTGTTGAATCTCTGTATGCCAGGGCTGCCAGTTCTTTCATCTCCTAAAAATGTTCAGTATCATTATAACCAATTTACAAGCCATGGTGGATAAAAGATAATTAATAATTGTATGTGAATAAGTTGATAGAGATCATTAAAAAATATATAAGCAAACTAGAAGTAGAAGGTGTAATAAAAAAAACAAACTTGTTCGTGAATTGTTTTAAGGAACTCAATCTCCTCCTCAATTGTCTGCCTCCTGTTTTCTGCATCAATGTGCATCAACGTCTCCTGGTCCAAATCCTTCAAGAGAATTTATTGTTATCTTTATTATTTCACAGAATACAATTTCCTTATGCTAACTCAGGCATGTGATATAAAAATAAATGAGGAACAGGAAAGCATGTTAACAAAATACTAAACTATTCTTGCTCTGTTGAGACTTTCTTGAAGATTCACAATTGTTTTCTTGTCTCTTTCTCTGTCACTCTCCAGTCCATCAATTCTTCTTCTGAGCAAGTTAAGATCAGCCTCATTACAAGCTACTTGCTGGTTCAAAGTCTCGATTACTTCACGACTCTTGGCTAGCTCTTGATTTGAATCATACAACCTGAAAAAATGTTATTTAAAACAAATAACATTATAATTAACCCTAAAGTTAAAACAACTATAGTTATAAAATTCTATGAAATAATACAACAAATGCATATTTAAAATAAGTATGAAGTAGCTGAACAGGACCTTTGCATAGTCTCATCTCTGTTCTCTTCAAGACTAGCCACTCGAATTTCTAATCTGGCTTTTTCTCTGGTTGCATCATCAAGAACCTTTCGTGCCTCATCCAACTCAGCTTGATACATTGCTTTTATCTGGGTTCATAAAATAAATTGACAATTTGTAACTTTCTTTGAAATGAACATCTTATGAACAAAAACATGTCTAAGTTTTAGATTATTTTAATAAATAGAGATTATTTTAATAAATAAAATCAGGTGGGAAAATATATACCTGAGTTGTCTCTTTGCCCCATTTGGCCTTTAATCTTTCCAATTCATCAGTTAATTTTCTATTTTGAGCTTCAAGAAATCGAACTTTCTCAATGTAGCTTGCAAATCTAAATTTAA